AATCATTATAATCAATACATTGCCTTGATTTTCTACAAGTTAAAGATAGTGATATTAGCATATGACAAATAATTTTTCCCATGCAAAACAGTACTTTCCAAAGATGAAATAAATGGTTTTTTTTAAACTTTCATTTGATTGTATGTGCTCAATGAATCCCTAGTTAAGAAACAGTAAGAATGGTTCTTATGTTCCTTAGGTTTCATGTATATCCATGCGTATATATGTGTGTACGTATATAAAACAATGTAGTAATGAGGTTTCCATTTTTGTTTTATTTTGCCAGCATATGTCTTCACCTTATTATATACAGTTTCCTTTTGTTTTTTTTTTTGTTTGTTTGTTTTTGGTGGCTGGCTGGTACAGGGATCCAAACCCTTGACCTTGGTGTGACAACACTGCACTCTAACCAACTGAACTAACCGGCCAGACCTTATATAGAGCTTTAAAATCAGAATATTAATTTTCCCTCTATAAAAATATCGAAATTTATCCTCTGAGATATTTTCCTTGTCATGTTATTTTTTAAAATTTTCTCTCCTTTTTTTGGTAAAAACTTTGAGATATAATTTATTTACCATCCAGTTCACCCATTGAAAGTACACAATTCAATGGTTCCCAGTATATTCACAGATTTGCATAACTGTTACAGTCTATTTTAGAACATTTTCATCACCCCAAAAAGAAACCATATTCTCTGGTTCTCACCCCCTTCGTGCTCCCATCCCTGTCATTTAAATTTTGAAAAATATCTTTGCCCTCCAAGCAGCCGTTTCAGTTATACTCCCACCAACAGTTGGTCGAGTGCTTGGTTTCCTCATACTGTGCTGTATTATCAGAATACTTTATCTTTATCAGCCTCGCCGATGAGAAAGTATTTCTTGCTTCAGTTTGCACGTATTTAATCATGAATGGTGCCGACCGTCTTTTCACGTGTTTCTTGGCCGTTCTCGTCTCCTCTCTGAGCTTCATTGTAGACCTGTTCTAACTACAAGCAAACACTTCGGAGTCGCTGCTTTACTTTATCGCATCCACAAGTACCTGATCCATGGGGCAAAGGCAACCGTGAAGTTAGTTCACCCTGAATTACAGAAACAAAAGCAGCCTCCAAACAGGCCCCCATGTACTCAGAAACCCTCACGGGGGCTCCTTACCTAGGGCTGCCCAGTAGAGGTTGTAGAGACTGCAATTCCTCCTAACATGGATGAAATTCCTGCTCCTCTGCTTGCCTGAATTTGACTTTGTCTCAATTCATCAGTCACTGTTTTTAAATTGACATTCCGTGTTCTTTGTTCTATTCTATTGGTATCCAGTCATTCCAGGAAACCTCTGGTAACTTGCCTTAGTTGGAGGGTCTTTGGGTAAAGATGGAGCCAGGGGGTCAGAGCTCCTGCCAACAGGCATTTCCTCACCGCTGTCACCAGACCTGAGCCACTTTGCCCATCAATCACTGTTAATTAAGTTCCTTCTAAGGGACCATAACCTCCAGGGATCAGAGGTCAAGGAGGACTCTGGGTCTTCTCTCCAACAACCTCACTACCAGGTACCACAAAGCCTCTGACCAAGTCTGCCTTTCAACTAATATTATTAGCAAACAAGCAAAATGCTGTCTTCCTCCCTGTGGTCCTAAGCTCGGTGTCTTCCCTGCTCCTTGTTCCTTACGTACAACTCGCCTAAAAGATGTACTTGCAGGGCCAACCCGGTGGTGCACTGCTACAGTGTGCCGCTTGGGAGTGCGGCGGCGCTCCCGCTGAGGGTTCGGATCCCACATACAGACCGGTTCCCGCTCACTGGCTGAGCGAGGTGTGGGCGCAGCACCGAGGGTTGCGATCCCGTTGCCGGTCCCGGTCTGGTACAGGCACGACACTGAGGGTTGCGATCCGTTGCCGGACACGAAAAAAGACAAAATAATAATAATAATAATAATACATATGGCTAATGTCTGTAGTAAAGAAAGAAAGCGATAATATATGTGCACAGCACGCCATGGGCATCGTAATAGCATGAGTATAGTATTTGCTGCTGGTTGCTGTGCATGAGCCACTATGCTCTTTTCATGCAGCATCTCACTTCATCCTGGTAACAACTCTATGAGCTTGGGATATTACGCCTATTCTATAGATGAAGAAACTGAAGTTTAGAGAATCAAGGTTACTCATAATAAATACATGCTTGCCAGACAAAATGTAATGTTTATGTGCTTTAATAGTTCCATGACTGAACACAGATTGTATCTAACCTTAAAGGGGTTAAAAACCTTATGTTAATCCAATAAGAGAACTAACACCCATTCAGTATCTTCTCCATGCCACATAATGGGCTATTTTACATCTGTTATTGCACTTAATCCACAGACCCATATGTGTTTTTATGAATGAGGTGTTACGCCCATTATAAAGATGGGGTCATACCTAACATTTGACACCATAGTGAGCCATTTTTAATACCCTCTCTCTATACCACTAAAGTATTTACAGTATCACTATGAAATAATCAGTAGTACCCATTATTTTCCTGACTTGCCACATAAACAATTTCCATTTTAAAGCTATTATTCAAATTTATTATTATTTAATTGAGAACACAGCACCACCTTTGTGATTTTCCTGCCAAACTTGCATGACCTGAATCAAATAAGGACGAATCATCAGACACACCAAATTGAGACATTCTACAAAATACTGGCCTGTTGTGTTTAAAAGTGTCAAGGTCCCAAAAGTCAAGGACAAACTGAGGACGGCTCCAGACTGAAGGGGACTAAGGAGACAGGACAGGCAGATGTGACTCATGATTCAGGACTGAATCCTTTTTCTAGAAAGGACATTACTGGAACAATTGGTACACGTAAATGGGTCTGAGCATGGGGTGGCACTGTTGTGTCAATGTTTATTTCCTGATTCTGATGATAGGATTGTGGTTAGGGAGGGAAATGCCCTTGTTTGTAGGCTGAGGGGTCAGCAGGGCAGCATTTTACTCTCAAATGGGTCAGGAAAAAGCAAAAGTCACTTATGCAATAATGTCCTTGTGCTATATTTCCACCTTTTCTCCATGTTTGTGATTTTTAAGAAACACAATTCTTAATGGTTGAAAAACCTCAACAGTAATTGTACCAATTATTTGGAACTTAGACCAACAAGACTTATTTATTTATTTATTTATTTTTTGTCTTTTGTCTTTTTCCGTGTCCGGCAACGGATCGCAACCCTCAGTGTCGCGCCCGTACCGGACCGGGGACCGGCAACGGGATTGCAACCCTCGGTGTTGCTTCCGCGCCTCGCTCAGCCAGTGAGCGGGAACCAGTCTGTATGTGGGATCCGAACCCTTGGGCGGGAGCGCCGCCGCACTTCCCAAGCGGCGCACTTATCCAGTGCGCCACCGGGCCGGCCCAACAAGACTTATTTGATGTGTGCTTTTTCACCAATCTTGTTTAGAATAGTTGTCGCAAGGCAGTCATAGAAAGCAGAGGCCTTTTAAAGCCAGTCTGGTTTTCGCTGTTAAGTTCCTGACAGACAGCATATGTCCTTACTCCCTATGCGTGGAGTGGACGGCTCCTGCCACCTGCCCCCGGTACACCTGCTTACACTGGTAGGTCAGAATCCTCCATTACGAGGTGGGACCCAGGACACAGGACCAACTGGAGCCCTCAGCTCAGAAGACCGTGGGGGACAGTGTGAGGCTGCTGGGCTACCAGAGTCCTACATGCCGTCCACTCAAGAACAAGGTGCCTTTACCATACCTAGCCTGTCCACTCATTTCACCAGGGAAAAAATCGTGAAAATCCCTCTTGCTAATTAAACTCTTCTGGAGCTGGTTATGGCAAAGAAGTCCTTGATTAGCTGCCTCTGTGGGGTGGGATTTCTGATTAGGGTGTTTAAAATGCTGTCTAACAACCTTGGACACGTATTCCCCATCATAGCCAGCCACCTTCGGATGTAGATGACGGTTAGCCAGCACATATACCTGCTCGCTCTGTTTTAAAGTAAATGCTAGCATCTGCTCAGCTGGTCACACTGCAGTAGCACCTGAGCTCTGTGGACTGAGCGATACATATGTGTGCCTTCGCACCTGTGTGTGCATAAGCAACTCCATTACACTAGACACAGTAGATAAGGTGTTTTTCTCCTTCTTGGGAGCAGGTTTGCAGCTCAGGAAGGAATCTTTAGGGTGAAAGCAGTCACTCTTGCCCACAGCACAGGGGAGACACAAATGCTAAGGTAAAGCAGGCCTGGAGGAGCTGAGCACAGGAGGCTTGGGGGCTGCTGTCCTTGCCTCATGCTCTGCTGGTGTCTTGCATGCTGGAGGCAAACCATGATAATGGGTGGAATGCTTGTGCAAATGGGGTGCTGAGTGGTTAATCATCCTTCTGGTGGAGAAGAGTGGTATTAGCAAAAGCTTTGGGTTACTTGAAAGGAAATATCCACATCTTCTCTGAGATTGTCCCGTTTGACATTTCAGCCAGGAGGAAAGAGCCTTAGGCATTCATCCCCACCCCCATCTCCAGCTCCCTTGAGTGCACAGCTCGCAAATCTTGATGGATGGAAGAGTCACCTGTTGACCTTGTTAAAAGTTTAGGTCCTGGACTCCTGGCTCAGGGGCTCTGATTCACCAGGGTGCACCCAGGTGTCTGCATTTTGAGCAACCACCTAATATTTCTGTTGCCTGTGGCCTATGGGCCCCTCAGAGAAACTGCTCTAGGGACAGGAACACGGGCCTCGTGGTCAGAAAGCCCAAATTTGCCTTCCCAGCTCTTTCACAGCATGGGAAAGTTTCCAGAGCTCTGTGAGGCTCTGGTTTCACCTCAACATCCAGGCTCTTGTGAGGGTCAAACCCAGTGGAAAGAAGAGCACGTTATAAACTGCAGCTCCACGGTAAGATCATCTCTCCCGTTTCTTACATTCAACTTCATGATCTAACCATGGATATTAACACAGCACTCGGGTTGCTTCCTTCCAGTGTCTCCTACCCAATAATTTAAGAAAGATCTTGTGCTCTCTTCCCAGCCTTCAACACAGCAAAGTGTGAGAAACTACAGAAAGACAAGGAGGACCTGGAGAGGCGGTTCGAGGAGGAGGTGAGGCGGCTGGGCTGGCAGCAGCAAGCCGAGCTCCAGGAGCTGGAGGAGCGGCTGCAGCTGCAGTTCGAGGCGGAGATGGCGCGCCTGCAGGAGGAGCACCACGGCCAGCTGCTGAGGATCCGGAGCCAGCACCAGGAGCAGGTCAGTCTGTGGCTTGGCTTGGCTTGCTGTGGGGTAGTGCCGGCAGCAGCTGGAGGGGAGCCAGCGCCACGTTAGCAAGAAGTCCTGTTCAGTAGGTGAGCTTTTTGTAAGGTTCACTCTCCAACCTCATTTCTTCCTATGCTCCTTTGCCCCTCCCCTCCAGCCACTCTGGTCTTCCTTGCTCTTCCTCAGAGCTGTTGCACTGCTGTGTCCTCTACCTGGAATGCTCTCCCTCTGGACACTGCATGGCTCCCTCTCTCCCTCCCTACCAGACTTTTCTCCAACGTCACCTTCTCAGTGATGTTTTTTCTTATCTAAAGTTGCAATTCCTTCTTCCACCGCATACACAATCTTCCTATCCCCTTCCCTGCTTTAGTGTTTTTTCCACACTTACCACTATTGAACATATTACAGATTTTGCTTTTGTACCTTATTTATCATCTGCATGTTCTGTGAGGGCAGAGAAAATAACAAGCAAACATGTATCCAGCACTTGCCCTGCACCAGGCCCTGCTCAAGGTTTGCAAATTATTACAAATACTAATTCACCTAATCATCACAATCACCCTACTGAGGTAGGTACCAATTTTATCCCCACTTTACAGGTGACAAAACCAAGACCCCAAGGTTAAATAACTTGCCAAAATTCACAGAGCTGGTCATGGAAAAGCCACGTGGAGCCCACTCTGGCTCAGTAGTACATGCTGTCAATCATTAAACTAGAATTGTCTGCTGGATTTACTACTGGGTCTTTGGTACTTGGAACCATGCCTGCACAGAGTAGGCACAAATTATACATTTGTTGAATGAAAGGAGAGGAAAATCCAGCCATGCAATAAATAGAGAATAATGCCCAGGGAGCTTGTCCAGGTGAAAGTGGTTAGGAGCCAGATGTGCCCACCCCACAGCCAGCTGCCGTCAGCCCCGATGAGAGGCAGGTGGAATGAGATGATGAACTGACTCTGCTTCCGTGAGAACTGCTCCTTTCTTTTCTCTTCTTTCTAAGTTCCCAAGCTCTGATGCCTTACCACCCACTTTCTGATCATGTGTTATTGCGCATAGTCTGCCTATGATATGCCTAAGGTAAGTTGATGTTTTTGAAGAGTGCTGTTTAAATCTCAGTTGACACTCAGTTTGGTGTTGAGTGGCCCTTCATTACCACGATCCTTTGGGATGCCCTCCTCAGCTACTTCCAAACAGATATCCCAATGGCAACACCCACTCCTGTCCCAGACTCCTATGAGTCATAAGGGGCACAGGAGGAATTTCAGAGTAGTGATAAGTACTGTTGTTGCAGTAAAAAATCTCTTATTTTATAGCATTTTGTTCTATACAGCATCTCAGGTTAGTCATCCTCCTTTTCTAGAGGCCTATAAAAACCAGACGCACCTCCCTGCTTGGGTTGTTTAGACTTAGAGATTGGGAAATAGAATGGGTTACAGCTAAAGTTACCTGCTGGTATTAAGACTAGAGACTGAACCCCGGCATCTTGCCTCCCAGGGTCTCTGAGCGTAACTCCTGTAAGTAGACATCCACACCTGCAGCTGTCTGTAGTCTTACCTGTTACGTGGTCCCTTTGTGTAAATGTATATCTCAGACTGGTACAAACATCAAATTGTTCTGTGCTTCTGTATCCTGGGCTATTCATTACTAATTTTACATAAAGAACATTTTTATACCTGTATTTACCAAAGGCTTCTAGTCTGAAGGTCTGGGTAAGTTGGGAAGATGCTATGGGGTGGGGTGGAAGGGCAGGAGGTGACCTGCAGATGGAAGTCCCCTGAGTGAAGGCCTCCATGGTGGTGCCATGGAACTGAGGCCACTGCCGAGTGGAGCACGTCCACCAGAAGAGCGTGGCCTGGGGCCAGAAGGCCTTGCCAAGAAGCGCATGCTGGGAGCTGTGTTCTCAGCTCCCCTTGAAGCTGGGGCACAGCAGCCTGTTAGAGATTTCAGACTGAAAGGGATGGAAAGGAAAGAAGCCCCTGGCTTTTCCCCCTGAGAATGAGTTATGTAAACCCTCCTGTGGATATTTATAAAGTGCTCAGTCCTACGAGGGCTCTGAGTTCTGTTCTGATCCTTTATGGTAGCTACAGCCATTTATTTATTTATTCATTTGCCTGTGCAAAGAATATTTATTGAATGCCCACTATGCACAGATACCATGACAGGGCACTGTAAGAGATGCCAAGATTTATAAAATGTGGGCTTGCTCATTCCGTAGGGCAGGCTGCAAGACAAGTGCCCGAGGAACTGTGACACAGGGTGAAAAGTACAGATGACGTGTTTAGGAACTGAGAGTTCACTTCCCATCGTGAGGGTGAGGGAAGATGTTCCCACAGAAATAGCATCTGAATGCTTCACATCTGAGTGAATCTTTCCTATAGGAACCCATTGATTTGGGGGGACTGGTGATTCAGATCTGTGAATTACTCAGGCCCTTGGTTCTGCTCGGGCCACTGGTGGTTGGCAGAGAGCATACAGGAAATGAGCGAGATGAGGAAATGCTCACCAGCCCGGCATTCTGATTTCCAAATTGGATAAATGCTCATGTTTAGTGGCAGAGAGGAGACTCAGGTGGATGACTGATGCGGAGATTTGGGTGACCAGTGGTTTCCGTATCCCTGCTGGATTCTCCACACTTGGGTCTTTCTTCTTAGGGATGGTCACCTTTGGCAATGTGACCCCCATGGAAAGTGACATTGCTGACCTTCTGGAGTCTTAAAAACCAGGTTAACCAGTCTGGCATCTCCTTACAACCCAGCACCCCCACAGCCAATGGTGGGGTGGGGGTGGCTTCAGTCCTGCCACATGGGATTTTCCGAGGCTGCAAGTATCACCCGTTACTCAAAAGGGACCCACCCACTGAGACAGGCTGCCCCTGGCTTTACTGCAGCACCTTTCTTATGACAAAACCAGCCGAATCTCTTTCTTGCTTAGCTGTCCACCCCCAAAGGGGCAAGGGCTGTCTCTCTGTCCACAGCCTCTGCTCCAGCTACACATGGAATCACTTGGAGAACTTCTGGCAAAACACCCCTTCCTGTCCTCACTCCACACTAATTCAATCAGAATCACTGGGTGGGGCATCGGGTCATTTTTAAGAGCTCCCCAGGAATTTCTGTGTGCAGCCAGGGCCCAGAACCGCCCAGACCTTGTCCTTCAGCCCTGCAGGCTCTAGTGAGGGGTCTGAGAGTGTGGATGGGGGTGGGGGGTGGCCTTGCATGTTGGCTTTCTTAAGTGAGTTTAAAAGCATGATAAAACTCTTATTTTAAAAGTTTATGATTTTAAAGGTGCTTGGTAAAAATGAGCTCTCATTCTGTAGCAAGCTACACATTAACAGAAGCCAAAATGCCACAATTTCCCTTACTCAAAGCATGCAGAACAGATTTTTACTGTAAACACACATGCTGTTTTCCTTTTTGCCCCGAACATAGTTCCTTCTCAGTCCGGCTTCCAGTCTTCCTTTCTGGGCTGCCTTTGGCTGTTCCCCAAAGAGAAGCAGACACAGAGCCCAGTTCTATGATCAGACTTGTGACTTTTGACCCCGTTCCTCTAAGACCCTTTGGCAGTTTGTCTTACTCCGCAACTTGCCCTGAAGTCACTCACTTCAGGGACTGCTGGTTCCTGGAGGCATTATGGATTCTGCTCAACAAAGTCTAAGCAGAGATTCCTTCTCCTTAAGGAGCAATAGAGCTTATCCTTTGGAGTTTAAATGTGCTTTGTCTCATATCCAGGACATACTTTCTACCCTTTCCGAAAGAAAACATCCTTTTAGACTAAATGGCAGAAAGAGCATCCCCGCGATTGATCCTGCTGTACAGAGACCACTTTGCTCATTCTCTTGCATTATGTTTCCTTAGCTGTCCTGCACGGCAGGCTCACAGCTGCCATGCAGCAGGACCCACACTTTCTCTGATTAAATTGAATGAGATCCCGGGGGACTCAGTCTCCCAGCACCAGAGCTCTACATGCTGGGAGGAGGTGGTGCAGAGGAGCCAGGGCCTCTGTCAGCACCTGCCCACGTCCTGGGCTGCAGAGGGGGCCAAAGGCATCCCCCAGAATGAGATGAAGTCAGATTAGGAGCTCTGGCGGGGCTAAGCGCCTGCTCTGAGCTGGCATCCAGGCTGCTGCAGGAGGGACAAAGTGTGGGAGGGTCTCCTCGCTATCTGGAAAGGCAAGTCTTTAAGAGAGCACCGAGAGTGTCAGCATGGGCAGGCCCCCTCTGTCTCCTCCGATATGGACACCTGTCTGGGAGTCTAATCTGATTTAGGTTTAATGAGTAAAGCCAGGACAATATAAAGCACATGCTTCTTCATTCGAAATGTTAAGTCTCCTCTAAGTGAATGCAAAGCCGCAGGTAATTGCGTTTTGCAAATGGTGGGATGTGGGGCTCCCTGCAGCTCTGCTCTTCCTCTGACTGTGGCTTTGCAGCCCTCGCTCTGCTGCGGTAACTCAGGCAGCTGTGGGAATGCAGTCATGTCACAGGGAACAGCAGCTCTTCTGCATGACTAGGACTATTTAACGGGCATATTGACAGGCTCCATGCCACAACCCAGAACTCTGTCTCTGTGAAGGAGGGAGAAGGGGGGCCCAGCCGTGGTCTAAGGGGGCCCCACCCAGGATTCTAAAAGGAAGACAAGGTGCCTCGCCCAGTCTAAGTTTGCCACAGGCTGATAATGTTTTAGTGCCTTTTGTCTCTGATTAATGATCCGTAATGCAATAAATGATCCTGTGTTTCCCTTGGGTCCACTTGTCTCGATCGCCTTAAATGTCTTCAGAAGTTCTTGAAGTCTTACTGACTGCCTCACGACTGTGAGCTCATGCTCCAGAAAGAAGCAGCGAGCCACAGGAGGAAAAGCCAGAGACAGACTGTGATAAGAGAGAGGACGGCCAGTGGCAGACAGCCCCTTCCTCCCTGACGGAGCATAAAAACCAGAAAGAGCATGAAACCTAAATTACTGAAGAACAAGGTTATTGTGCCCAAATTTTGGCTTACAGGCTCATTGATTTCCTTCCGAACATACTGAGCATTCCTCTAATTCCGTATAGACTTCTAGAGTTAGAGGATCGGTATTTCATTCACAAAAGCACCTCTGAGAGGCCGTAACAGATAGATCATGCCCTTACATCATCCTTAATATGTTGGGCGTGGTAGTTCATCATCACTAAATTAAAGACATGCTTTCCAGCAAACCAGATGGGCATACATTTCAGCCACAAACATAACGTAGTATTGCCAGTCAGGGTGTAGCCACCTCCAGGGACACATGACTCTTCTGGAACTTAACCTTTCGTCCATCTCTCTTTCCTGAAGCCACCCATGGTAATTTGTGTAAGAGCCAATAAATTAGAATCATACCAAGGACCGATGAAAAATTTTTTTCATTCTAGTGAACTATATAACATACCTGCAAATAATGTGTAAGTACTTGTTTTTACAGACGGTGTGCTATGGGCTTAACTGACATCCGTAATGGAGCAGAAATAAAATTATATATATATATATATATATATATATATATATTTTTTTTTTTAACCAGTGATTTATTTTTCCAACAGGCTGACTGTGATCAGCCTTTCTGCTGAGTGGATTCATAGCTCTGAGCTTCAAGTAAAATATTATTTAATCATGAATGGGCCAGTAAATTAGAGTAAATCCCCACATCCTATGTCTGTTTTCACATTGTGATGCAGCTTTCCTAACTAGCTCTGTGAACTCCATTACTGATTTTTCCCAGTGATATTTCTGTTTCAGTGGATGGAGTTCTCTTTTACCACAGAGAGAAAAGTCAGGCAAATTTTCCCATGAAATTATAGTATTCACAGTGGGAATCTACCACCTACCCCCTTTTAAATTTGACACGTAATAATTATACATATATATGGCATACAATGTGGTACTGGATACATGTATACAAGGGGACAGCAAAAAGTTCATGTAAAAATGGAATTAAAAGATAAAAATAAAAAATATAAACTTTATTTCTCAACTTAAACTCCATCGAGTTCAAGACATTTCTTTAAGAGATGGTACCAGCCGTTTAGTCCATCCCTAAAGAACTGAGGTCCCTACATTAACCATGCCAATGTAGTCTTCTTTACATTATTAGCTGAAGAAAAATGGGTGCCCTTTAAAGATTTTTTAAGATTAAGGAGCCAAAAGAAGTCAGAAGGAGCCACATCAGGACTGTAAAGTGGATGCCTAATGGTTTCCCATTAAAACTCTCACTAAATTGCCCTTGTTTGATGAGAGAAATGAGCGGGAGCCTTGCCATGGTGGAGGAGGACTCTCTGGTGAAGCTTCCCAGGCATTTTTCTAATAAGCTTTGACTAACTTTCTCAAAACAGCCTCATAATAAGCAGAAGTTATCATTCTTTGGTTCTCCAGAAAGTCAACAAACAAAATGCCTTCAGCATCCCCCAGAAATTGTTGCCATGACCTTTGCTCTTGGCCAGTCCACTTTTGTTTTGACTGGACCACCTCCACCTCTTGGTGGCCATGGCTTTGATTGTGCTTTGTCTTCAGGATCATACCGGTAATGCCAGGTTGCATCTCCTGTCACAGTCCTTTGGAGAAATGCTTCAGGATCTCGATCCCCCTCATTTAAAATTTCCGTCGAAAGCTCCACTCTTGTCTGCAGCTGATCTGGGTGCATCCATCAAGTGGAAAGTTTGCTCAATTGTAGTTTTTTAGTCAGAATTATGTAAGCTGGTCCAATTGGATGTCTGTGGGGTTGGCAATTGTTTCTGCTGTCAATCGTTGGTCCTCTTCAATTAGGGCACCAACACAATTAACTTTTTCCTTGCAAATTGATATGGATGGATGGTCTGCCATTGTGGGCTTCATCTTCAAAATCGTCTAGTCTTGTTTTCTTGAAACAAACTATCCATTTGTAAACCTCTGATGTCTTTGGGGCACTGTCCCCATAAACTTCTGTAAAGCATCAATGATTTCACCATTCTTCCACCAAAGCTTCACCATAAATTGGACATTTATTCTCGCTTCAATTTTAGTAGAATTCATGTTGCTCTGATAAGCACTCTTTTCAAACTGATGTCTGACCCTTCTTAGTGCCTCAAACTAAATCTTGTTCAGACATGTTATAACAAGTTAGTACAAGTTTATTTTGGTGCAAAGAAATTTTGAAATCCATGCATAGTTTTTTCATAATACACATTTTCCATGAACTTTTTGAAGACCTCTTATGCAATGTGCAATGATCAAATCAAGGTAGGTAGCATATCCATCACCTCAAACATTTGTCATTTTTTGTGTGTGTTGGGAACATTCAAAATCCTCTCTTCTAGCTATTTGAAAATATACAATAAATTGTTGTTGTTATTATTACCTATAGTCACTCTACAGTGCTATAGAATACTAGAACTTAATCCTCCTATCTAGCTGGAATTTTGTATCCATTAACCAACCTCTCCCTATCCTCCCTACCCCAGCCACTAGTAACCACCACTCCACTCTCTACTTCTATGAGCTCAACCTTTTTAGCTTTCACATATGAGTGAGAACATTTGGTATTTGTCTTTCTGTGCCTGGCTTATTTCACTTAACATAATGTCCTCCAGGCTCATCCCTGCTGCTATAAATGACAGGATTTCATTCTTTTTTGTGGCTGAATAGTATTCCATTGTATATATGTACCAAATTTTCTTTATCCATTCGTCTGCTGGTGGACACTCAGGTTGATTCCGTATCTTGGCTATTGTAAATAGGGCTGCATTAAACATTGGGGTGCAGGTATCCCTTCGACATGATGATTTGTTTTCCTTTGTTTATATACCCAGCAGTGGAATGCATGCCCCTGTGTTGACTTCATGAGCAAGTTTTCTTTCTTGTACAGAGCACTTCCTCCTTTCAGACCAAAGGTCAACCTGTGAATTATCCCCAGAGAAATGAGGGCCTCTCGGAGGTGGCTGAATATTACCAATGAGAAGCAGCGTTTTAACTGGTCCCCCAAAACGCTTTGGGACCTGGGTACACTTTCTGGTTCAGTGTTTTTCAAATGCCAGGTTTTGACATATTAGTAGGTTGTGAAATAAAGTTAGTGGCTTATAACCAGCAATTTGTAAAACAAAGTAAAATAGAAGAAAAAATTTTAAACCAGACCATTGCAAATGGGAAGGATAAGTTTTGTTTTGCGAAACTTTGGTTTTGGGGTATGTGGTGGGGGGGGGTGCTGTGTTACAGTGTGCAATGGGATTTTTTCCAATGGGTCAGTAATGAAGAATTTGGATAAAGGTGGTTGTGTCCAGGAGAGGTTTGTGATCATAGGGAGAAGTCATTTTATGCAATTACTCCTGTAAGTCATACATTTGAAGTTAAATAAAACAATAGTCAACAATAACAGTAAACTTAGTAGGCAAGAAGGTGAGGGGTAAGGGTGGGGATCAGGAAGCATAAAAATAAAAAATCCTGGAGTGGCTGCACTCCTAGAAATGCACCTTCAACCAGGGAGACAGCAGCTAAGCGTTGCCTGGGCGGGAGGTCCAAATTGTAATGTGGGGTGCAGGCATATGTGTAGGCAGCTACACAGAGTTCTGCCAGCCTCACCTTGGTATTGGTGAGAGGATTCTAAGGTGTTAGTTGCTGGTCTTGCTTGAGGGAGGCAATAATAGTGTATTTGAAAGAGCTTCGCCTTTGGAGTCAGATAGACCTGGACCCCACTGCTAGCTCTGCCATTTACTAACCATTGGGTAAAACATTTTGAATTTCTCTGAGCCTTAGTTCTCTCATCTGTAAAACGGGCATGAAAATATCTACTTGGCACAGGCTAAGGGTAGCTGTCACATCAGCAAAATGATTTGTCCTTGACATTTTGGGCCACTGGCCTTTTCCACTCATTGGATTGCTCCCCTGTTGTCCCAGCAGTGAGAATCTCACCAACATCCGTTCCCTGGCTCTTCCTATAACCAGTAACTGTGACTCTCCTTCAGGTAGAAGATATCACGGCCAGCCATGAGGCGGCTCTCCTAGAGATGGAAAATAACCACACAGTTGCCATCACGATCCTGCAGGAGGACCACAACCACAAAGTCCAAGGTAGTTACCAGCCTGGCATGCAGCAGGTGGGGACAGGCTGTGCAAGCCGAACCCTCTCTGCTGCAGAAGCAAGGAGCCCTCCCTTCCTCTCTCGTCCCTCCTTTCCTTCATTCCCTTCCTGTCCTTCCTGTCTGTGAAAGGAAGAGATAGAAACCACAGATCCAGGTAACTACTTCCTTCCTAAAGAAGCAGTTATTCTCCACCTTGCTAAATATCGGAATGTCCAGGAGAAAGCCCAGTGCCAGCCTCATCTCACCTCAGGGATTTTTTTTTTTTATTAAATTTTATTTTGTCGATATACATTGTGGTTGATTATTGTGGCCCCTTACCAAAACCTCCCTCCCTCCTCCCTCTCCTCCCTCCCACCCAACAATGTCCTTTCCGTTTGCTTGTCGTGTCAACTTCAAGTAATTGTAGTTGTTAAGTCTTCTTCCCCCCACCCCCCCGGTTTGTGTGTGTGTGTGTGTGTGAATTTATTTATTAATTTTTAGCTCCCACCAATAAGTGAGAACATGTGGTATTTCTCTTTCTGTGCCTGACTCGTTTCACTTAATATAATTCTCTCTAGGTCCATCCATGTCATTGCAAATGGCAGTATTTCATTCATTTTTATAGCTGAGTAGTATTCCATTGTGTAGATATACCACATTTTCCATATCCACTCATCTGATGATGGACATTTGGGCTGGTTCCAACTCTTGGCTATTGTAAAGAGTGCTGCGATGAACATTGGGGAACAGGTATACCTTCGACTTGATGATTTCCATTCCTCTGGGTATATTCCCAGCAGTGGGATTGCTTGTCATATGGTAGATCTATCTGCAATTGTTTGAGGAACCTCCATACCATTTTCCATAGAGGCTGCACCATTTTGCAGTCCCACCAACAATGTATGAGAGTTCCTTTTTCTCCGCAACCTCGCCAGCATTTATCATTCAGAGTCTTTTGGATTTTCGCCATCCTAACTGGTCACCCCAGGGATTTTGATGTAGTTGATCTGTGGTGCAGCCAGGTCGTCAAGAGTTTTTAAAGCTCCTTAGAGATTCTAATGTGGAGCCAAGCTTGAGGACCACTGTTCTAAAGTAGGCATGGAAATCTTGGACTTTACCTTGTTTTGTGGCCTTCTAAAACTAAACGGAAACCCCATGTGGCTACGCTTTTCCCGTATTTGTGGTGTCTCCAGGGCTGTGGCTGCATCCGACCGGTCTGCTAACCGGGTCCTCCAGTAGATGTGATTGGAGTGCCGGTGCTTCCACTCACAGAGCACGTTCACCGTGCACGTAAACTGAGCCTGAGATCTTTCTTTTCACATTTTTTGTAACTTTGAATAATTTGGGGATACTTAGGGATTTCATGCAGGCCATAACAACCACATTACTAAGTTCTGGTAAGATTTTCCTTTGTGAGAAAAGCAGTATTTTATACTTAACGTGCATTTACATGAATAGATACAATTTGTTTTTCAATCCCTTTTACCTACTTTTCTCCTCTGGTCAGCTGGTTGTTAAAGTGCATATTAAACACAATGAAATTTAACAAGAGACTAATAATTTTTGAAACTTTGGAATTAACATCAGATTTTTTTATTATTATTACTTTAAAAATGTTCTCTATAGACAATAAAACCCGCTGTGCAGTTCTGGCCTCCCTCAGGCCCCTGTCCCACCACCTCGGGGGCTGTTAGCAGGGAAGAGCCCAAGCCAGAGGTAAGGGAGAGCAGCCTCCTGAGAACTAGGCCAGAGCACTACCTGTGCCCTGGTAGTGCATGTCATACCAGCAGTGCCGGGCCCACCCTTGGCTGCGCACTGGAATCACCAGGGGAGTTAAAAAAAATTCCCATCTCAGCTATTCCGATTTAATTGCTCTGGGGTGCAGTTCAGGCATCAGGATTTTTACACCTCCCCCCATGTGATTCTAGTGCAACAAAATTTGAGAGCCATTGTCTTAGCACACAGTATTAAGCATGGGACAGTGTGTCATGACCTAAAATAAAGAAATACATTATAGGGACAAATATTAGCAATAGTTTATATCATCATCAGAATAAATACTGCCTTTTCTTTTCCCTTAGGGTCTTGGGGTCATCTGAAACCCATTACTGCTCTGTTGGAAACTGGTCTCTGGAAAGGGGATATGAACAGAGACAGTGCAGTAAGCCATGGTGCTGCCTTTTGTTTGGATTTTTATATAGATAGATCTGGTAGATTTTTCTGACTAATGAAGTCTCACTGAGACACCACATCCAAGGCCTTTGAATTATATATAATATCAAGATGTGGGCATATGTAATGGTAGCTAAAAAAAAAAAAATCATTATTATGGTCAGGATGACACTCTTAATGACTATTAAACTAATCCTTTAGACAGATGCAGATGACCAGAAGGCCCCATGGTATCATGTCAATGAAATCACAAACTTTTTTTTTCAAACACAGACTTCAGCTGTAACAACTGGATTTCTTAGTGACCCTTACCACTATTAGTTAAAAGTTTCAGGTGAATGGAAACCACAAAGTTTTTCCTAATTGCAGCTCATGCCAGCCAAAATGGTAATTATTGGTCTCCAGTACTCTCCTGTTCTAAGCATGTGATCCATGCTCATTAATGAGAACTTTCCTCCCTCTGGTTATTACAAGAAAACAAATTGCTTGTGTAGCTAGAATGAGATGGGGTTTACCCAACTAATAAGACTCTTCCCATCTGGAGGAAAACAGAATCCATTTGCTTAATAACTCTTATGTGATATCTCATTCTGCCTAACTTGCAAATGATTACTGGGATGACACTTTTCATGGAACAGAATTGTTCTAAACCTTCCAAGAAGAGCCAGTCCAATTAATCCTTCCTTCTGTCTGTCTCAACAACGAATCTTTGCTCAAGCAAATCCTAGGAATCCGTGGTTCTCAGAGTGGGCCCAGCAGCCACCAAGGTGTCCTTGTAGACACAGCCCTGTCCCTGAGCACCAGTCCATTCTCCAGCGAGCCTGGGCTGGCAAGACAGCTGCTTGACCTTGGAAAGCCCCCTTGCTCAGCCCATTTTGCTGCTTCACAGTGGGAAGGAAGAGTGATCCTGGGAGGGGAAGAAAATGCGGACTTAACATTAATTGCCCCGTCGTTTTACCATTAGGAAAAGCTGGAGGTCATAGAGTGCTGTGAACGAATGATCTGACTTGGCCAGCATGGTGGTACAGCATGGAGTAGGAGTGTGCGTGTGTGTGTGCGTGTGTGTACATGTGTGCGTGTGTGTGCACGTGCAGTGTGTGTGTGTGTGCGTGCTTGTGTGCACGTGCGGTGTGTGTGCATGTCTGCATGCGTGCGTGCGTGTGTGCGCGCGTGTGTGCGCGGTGCGTGTGCCTGTGTGTGTGCGTGTGTGCACGTGCAGTGTGTGTGCGCGTGTGTGGTGTGTGCATATGTGCGTGTGTGTGCAGTGTGTGTACGTGTGTGCAGTGCGTGTGTGCAGTGTGTGCATGTGCGTGTGTGTGCATAGTGTGTGTGTGCGTGTGTGTGTAGTGTGTGTGTGTGCGTGTGTGTGTAGTGTGTGTGCGTGTGCGGTGTGTGTGCGTGTGTGCTCAGTGTGTGTGTGTGCATGCATGTGTGGGTGTGCGTGTGTGCACAGTGTGTGCGTGTGTGCAGTGTTTGCGTGTGTGTGCGTGTGGGTGTGCAGTGTGTGTGCATGTGTGTGTGTGTGCAGTGTGTGTGCACAGTGTGCGTGTGCGTGTGTGTGTGCAGTGTGTGTGTGCGTTCGTGTGTGTGTGTGGGTGTGTGGGTGGTGTGTGTGTGAGGGTGTGTATGGGTGGTGTGTGTGTTCATATGTGCGCTCCTTGCTTCCCTCTCTTTTCTTTCCTCTTTCCCTTTCCCCCTCTCCCTTTCCCCGACTCCTTCCTTTCTTTCTCTCTCCTAAGTAACAACGTGGTCATCACATACAATTTCACACTAGTGGAATCGTCTCTTTGGGGCTTGAATCTGCTATATACAGGAGTCATTTATTCCGCCAAAGTCACTAGTCTTAGTCTGCCAAAATAGTCTTATTTTATCCTTTTCAAAAGAAAGACCAACTTAACAATTTGATGTCTTCTCTCCAGAAATGATGTCTACTCATGAGGTTGAAAAGAAAGAATTGGAAGAGAATTTTGAAAAACTGCGGCTGTCGTTACAGGTTAATTTTTCTTAATTTTCTTAACTGATATTAGATAAGGGCAGCGTCATTATTCCCATCCAGAAACACTGATGCAGCACCTGGAATATAGAGGTAATAAGACACTACCTGCCCTCGAGGAATCTGCTGCAGCTCAGAGAGCTGGGACACGAATAGTAACAGACAACAATGGAAGGAAACACACACCTGCACCCAATGAGTCAGACAGTTAGCGAGAACACAGACATTCAGAGGGACTACTCTGCACTTGCTGTGGTCACAAGTACCCACGAGTGACCGAGCTGTGTTTGAAGAGAGGGGAGGACTTAGGGAGGAGAGCATTCTCAGCAGGGGAATGATGGAAGGAGAGTTGGGAAGATCAGGTTTCCTAGAACATGCCGTGGGAATTATAAAAGGAACTTTAGTCACCTGGAGGCGGGTGACATGGGAAACGCTCTCTCTGCCCCTCACCACCAACTAAAGAAAATGTTGGTTTCAGATGCCAGAGGAGCTGCCTGGCTTCGTGCTAGCCTCTCAGGGGACAATGCAGGGTCTCCCAGATGCTGCTTGTCTCTCTCCTGCCCTGCAGAGATCCAGGCCAGCTGCCTCTGTGAAAATACATTGACAACCCCCAGCCCTGGAAAGCAGCTGCCTGGAAAATGGCCCTGCTTCCATTTCCAAGTGTAGAACTTCCAGCCATACTCGTCACAAGATTATTTTTTAGATATTAGGGACACTCACATCTGGAAGTTACAGAAGGCGCAATATATAGGCACAGCTGTAGTATACAGGCAGAAATTTTGCTTCTTCAGTGGCTTGCTTTCTCCCAGTAATGTAGCAGATTAAGGGAAATAATGTGTGAAAAGTGTACAGCATCGGGTGGGCTGTAGTAAGTGCTAATAAGTAGCAGCTTGCATAAGAGTTACGAGCATTGTTACGTTTTTTATTGTTATTGTCTTGCTATTACTTGACTCCTGGGTGGCACTTGCTGGGTCAGGCCACTAGCTGGGTTCCCTTAGCTTGACATAAAGAAGCCAACCCTGTCTGACTGCGGCAGCACGATTCTGTCCCTGTGGACAGAATCTGTTTTGAGTAATGGTGAATACGGCAGACAAATCAGTTTGGTATTTTAGATCCATCCTAAGTGGTAATTGCCTGATGAGTTTTTTAATGGAGGGGAGGAGGATTAAAAGAAATACTCCCTCTGACAACACTGATGAGGTTTGGTGCAGGAGCTGTGTAGAGATACAGTCATTTTCACAGTCACGTTGCAGATGGTAACCGCAGCAGTGCAGTGGACCTGTGTGGGGGCCCCGCGGAGTTGCCCTGGGCCATGATCGACATTCAGCCAACTCATGTGCACACAAACTCCCACGGACAGCTATATTGGCCTAATGCACCGGCATTTGCATTTAATGGCACTATGGAAACTTATATTTCTTAAAAATAAGATGGAAGGAACTAGAAGAAAAAAAGAGGAAAAGGAGACTTCCCAGGGAAGTTTACAAACCAGGGTTTTCAAGCCAGGCTTCATACTTTACAGTGTTATTATGTAGAATTATAGAATTTATCATACCCAGCTCCTATGGTATGGTGGGATACGGCCATTTCTCTTGCCAGAAGAGTTCATGGGAGACCCTAATCCCTATGTTTTAATAGTACAGAAATGATGTCACTGGGCAGAGAACTTTGGACTGCTCAGCTGAGTGAGGCCCCGGAGTTAGGCATCAAGAGAAAAGTGACTGGAGGGCTTCCTCTGTTCACCCTCGGTGATCAGTCATGGCTGGTGCTGGGTGGGGAGGGGTCTGCATAGCTGCACCAGCCCTGGGAGCTGGGGAAGGGGCGGGTGTCTCCACCTGCCTTCCTTTCCCCTGCACGAGAAGGGCTGCCCCGCAGTCGGCATGCGCTGGGGCAGGGAGTGTTGGTCCAGCAGAGAGGATGGGACTGCATGGACTCATATCAGGACTTGCCACCCAGCCCTGAGGCCAGGAAGGCTGAGGAGGGCCCATAAGTGAGCTGGGAGTGAGTGAGCGGGTGAAGGCGCTGCCACCAGGAGGCTGGAACGTGGGATGTACGAAGGAGGCAGCGGGCGCCCAGGCTGCGTGCGAGTGTGTGTGCTCCTCCTTGAGGGTAGTGGGGTGTTAGGAGGGGAAGGACGGGTTCAGGTTCGCACATTACGAAGAGCAGCCTGACTGCAGCCAAGAGTAATATTGCAGGTGTCAGGACAGAAGTGGAGTGGCCTGTGCTCAGCAGAGTCCTGGATTCCAGGGACATTAAGGAAGTGGAATCAGCAGGACTCGGACTACGACTCGACTCGTAATGAGAATGTTTGGTGGGGGGGGAGGGGAGGTCGAGCAAGGCCGAGGAAGAAGTGAAGGATGGTGTAAAGGTTTGTGGCCTGAGCTTGTCATACATGAGGACAGTTGTTGTTTGAGATGATTAATGATGGCCCTCCTGAAGCCAGGGCTGGATGGCTCCTGGGCTAGACGCCCGTGCACCGATTGTCCACATCTGCAGGATCAGGTATTCGGTGCCCCCGTCACAGGCACACAGATTCACCTGTCAGTGTTTTGTGCTCTATTCTGTTCTGGACAAGGCACCAAGAAGGGCAGAGCCAGGGGGCGTTGGGAGGACTCTCCCTCCCTCATGCGGATGTGGGGTTCCCCCTTGACACCCTCTGTGCCAAGCCCTGAGGGAGACGCTCTGAAGAGCCCCCGGGCGAGGCGGCAGGCCCTCGTGTCACAGCTGCCCAGGCTGCATGCCGTGTCTGTCGTCCGTAGGGGTCCACACTGGACTAATCATGTCGTTACTTGCAGGACCAGGTGGACACGCTGACTTTCCAGAGCCAGTCCCTGCGGGACAGAGCCCGCCGCTTCGAGGAGGCTTTGAGGAAAAACACAGAAGAGCAGCTGGAGGTAGCCACTTCTGTCCGCGCCTCCCAGCACCCACGGGGCCCTCGCCCCAGCCAGGCCGCATGGCTTCTCCATGGCGGCGCCCAAAGACAAGGCCACCGTGTTGATCCGCTGCCGAAGTGACAGCTGGTCACGACCTCCCCAGGAGTTTTACACAATTCCTGTCAACACCTCTCCCCTGAGACAGACAACAGCTGTGGGTTTTGTTATTTTTGCCAAATTCCACAGCACTCCCCAGCCAGGGTCCCTGGGCTCCTATGATAAGCACAGTCTGGAAACCCCCCACCCTGGCCCCCATCCGATTTTCTCCCAACTTTGGTTTAGTCTGGCCTGAGGTGGCACTGGATACAGTGTGAATTAGTAGGTTGAGGGGAATTTTTTCCAGAAAAGCTGGCAAAACTCCTTCCCTCTAATATAGGTCTAGTGTAAATACAGGATACCAGTTAAACTCAAATTACAGATAAATGAATTTTTGAATATAAGTATTTCCCATGCAATACTTATACGAAAAATTCTTTTAATGTTGCTTATCTGAAATTCAAATTTAATGGGATGTCCTGGATTTTTATTTGTTACATCGGCAATCCTACTCTAATGTCTTTTTCTAAAATGACTTTTCTGCTTTTTAAGCCACTTCGTTCATTTCATAGGCATGGTGGGTGGCGAGGGGGACTCTCCACGGGCACAGGTGGGACCTATAAGATCCCCACCTGCCTGTTGAATTGAGTTGTCTGGGTGAATGTTAAAAGCCAGTGTTGGGGCCGGCCCCGTGGCGCACTCGGGAGAGTGCGGTGCTGAGAGCGCAGCGACGCTCCCGCCGCGGGTTCGGTCCTATATAGGAATGGCCGGTGCGCTCACTGGCTGAGCGTGGTGCGGGCGACACCAAGCCAAGGGTTGCGATCCCCTTACTGGTCACGAAAAAGACAAAAAAAAAAAGCCAGTGTTGAATTTATTCTTTCTACCCCATGAGTTCTGTTCTGAGGATGGGCTGGCAGCGTCTAGAAGCTCCAGCCTCAGACGATGGCCATGTCACCCCTGCCCCCCCCACAGAGCTGGAGTTTGAGCAGGGTTCCCAGTAGGAAACTAGCAGGGCACCTTTGTCAAAGAAAGCTGCGAGCATCTTCTCTCTCTAGTGCTGCAGTTGCCCACTGGGAAGCTTGTTAGAGAAGAATAGATGTCACGGGATTCGTGACACTGCTTAATACTGGGTTCTGCTGGGAACTCCGGTTAACAGCGCATCGCTCCCTGCCCCTGCAGATCGCACTGGCTCCTTATCAGCACTTGGAAGAAGACATGAAGAGTCTGAAGCAAGTGTTAGAGATGAAGAATCAGCAAATACACCAGCAGGAAAAGAAAATCATTGAGCTGGAAAAGTTGGTGAGTTGGCCTGTTAACTTGGGAGAGTATCCTCGGTCACATTCTTGTTGTCATCATCGATGCTGCTGTGGATGCTGACAGTGTTCAGCCAGTGGTGCCCCTTCCCTGCCCACTGCTTACAGCTGAGCAGAATAATTCCACAGCTGAGCCCCAAGGCCTTTCTCAGGAAGCCAGGAGTTCTGAAAAGATCTCAGAGGTGGCCTCATTCTGCAATGCTCTGGGGTTCTCCTGAGGCTGTCTCTTCTTTGCCTTGCTGTTTTTCCTGTGAAATGCTGTCTCCTCACCACCACCACCACCTCCAACCCATCCCCTGGCAGGGTGTGTGGTGAGCCAGCACACTGGAGCACCGCGCAGAGCATGTTATGTGTGTTTGTCCTTGAACTTGACAACAATCCCATGGAGGGGCACTGCCCTGAGCCTCATCTTACAGATACAGAGATGGAGACCTGGAGAGAGGGTCAGCACCTCACCCACAGCTAAGTGGCCACACCCAAGTGGGAGCCCTGGCCAAGTCCTCCAAGTGCTCACAGGGCAGAAGGGGCAGGGAGCTCTCTGGAGCTCCTTGTGTCAGGGCACTAATCCCATTCATGAGGGCCCCACCCTCACTTGATGACCTACTCACCTTCAAAACCCCCACCTCCTGACACCATCCCAGTGAGGGTTAGGTTTTGACATAGGAATTTGGGGCGGACACACAATGTCTTTGTCCTTAGCCCTCCAGCCTGGCTCAGCACGACTAACCAAGGGTGCCCCTGGGGGAATTGAGCACCAGGGTTTCACCCTGGCCTGCTGCACAAGGCCCACCAAGGGCTGGAGCAGGAGAAAGGTGCCCACGGGGAATAGCAGAGAAGCCGCTTCCAGGAGAGCCCATCCTGATGTGAAATTGGCCCAAGGATCTCAGATTCTCATAAAGAATCTGGGAATCTCGTGAAGAGAAAACTTCATTATTATTTTTAAAATAAACTTGTGATACCATAAAAGGAAAATATGTACACTTTGGGAAATTATAAAATAAGGTAAACAAAAATAAAATTAAAACATTATTTTCCTACCACTGTTAACACTTTCCAGAGCTTTTTCTCTGTAAGTTGTGTCTGCACACACATCATGTATTATACTGTACAAGTGCTTGGTATCTACTTTCTTTCAGGTAACGGATCTTTAACCTGCCATCTCAGGAACTGATCATCTCATCTAATTTTTAAAGTTTCCCATTCACCTGTGAAATGTCCCTTATCCAAACCAGGAGCTAATCTAGGGCCACCCATTGTATTCAGCTGTCATGTCCCTTTTCATTCGCTAGCTCTGTCCGTTTTTGCAGACAACTCTTACTGCATAGTGCTTGTCACATATGGGTGTCTGTTACCAGCATTCTGGGGGATGTTGGCCACTGGGCACCTTCCAGTAGTCAGAACTTCCCAGCATGGGCCAGGGCTATGGCCGGCCGTGAGGAGCTCAGGAACAGAGCCTGCCCCCTGCTGACTCTGCCCTGCAGCCCTGCCAGTGTGGGGACGGCTGCTCTGAGAGCACCCAGCCACCCTCCTCCTCCTGGTGGGGCTGTCTGCATCGGGTCACCCACAGGCCTCTGGGCTCACTTGGCTGTTTTTAGCCGTACTCCAGGCTTTCTGCAGGCATGTACTACTTCCTTCCCAGGAACCTTCTCAGGCAAAACACATCCCATTTGATCATTGCCCATTTCCTGCAGCAACAACGAGGGCTGGGTGGGGTGCCTTATAAAGATCAGGGACAGAGACCAGTCCTGTGGCTAGGATTCATGGACTAGTGACAGTTTTCTTTAAAGATTAACTACATTAACGGTGACATTGTAACATTCTTTAAAAAAAAAAAAAAAGATAATTTATTTCTAAATTCGTCTTAGAATGGAACTATACTTCAGCTAGAGGTCTCAGGCCCCAGGGGACCCACTGACAGAGAGAATGGCATGGATTGTGGGGAGGACCAACCATGGAATGGTGGGATTTTCTGAAAAGGTGCCACACTGGTCTTGCTGGTGCCTGTGTTCCTGGCTGCCCACAGCCTCAAAAAGGAAAGTGTGATCATGCTATTTATATGTCCATCCCTCCATTAATTTAGATCGTCACATAGCATGTGCATTCCTGGCCAGTGACACGGCTGCCCCAAAGTTGACCCGTGGGAAGAAACATTGGACCCATTAGTCAAGCCAGGTCCTCCTGGTGGTGGTCATGGCTTATCTCTGTTAATGGCAAGGCCTGTGGACACTCACTGTGAGAAATATTTTCTACACAGGAACCCAGTACACTCACACTCACACACACATAATACAAGGGGTCTTTGAAAAATTCATGGAAAGTGTATCAGCCCACTTCTGTTCCTTATAACATAAATACCTGAAACTGGGTTATTTATAAAGAAAATGAAACTTATTGCTTACAGTTTCAGAGGCTGGGAAGTCCAAAGTCCAGGGAACACATCTGGTAAAGGCCTTGGTGATGGCGACAGTGACCCAGGGGTCTCACATGGCAGAGGTGGTAGAGTATAGAGAGACTCTCATGCGCTCTCCTTTTAAAGCCCTCACAGCCACACCCATGACCACCATTATTAACCCATTCATTAGGGCACGGTCCTCCAATCTAATCATCTCCTCAAAGCCCCACCTTTTATTACCATGATAGGATTTCCCACCCACTTAACAGTCACAGTGGGAACAAAGCTCCTAATACATAAAACTTGGGGGACACAATTCAATCCATATCAGAAAAATACATATTATCTATTTCCATTTTCCACACACTTTTTGAAGTACCCTCATTTACATCAATATAAATGTATAATATATAAGATATATATAATGTTACCTATTTTACTGCATACAGTACACTCTGGCATTTTCTATTCTGTTTTGTTTATTAAAAAAATGCTGGTCACGTCCTCCAACCTGATTTTACAACCCACCAATGTATTGTAAACTGCAATTTGCAAAATGTTGTTCTGGATCACCTTCCAAGCCAGGAGGCTGTGGGCACTGGTTGGCTACCTATCTTAGGGCCTTGCTGAGAACCTCTTAAACATTGCACCCTTTATAGGTGGAAAAGAACATTATCCTGGAAGAAAAGATCCAAGTTCTCCAGCAGCAGAATGAAGACCTCAAAGCAAGGATCGACCAGAACACGGTTGTCACCAGGTAGGTGGGCCTGGGTGTCTGGGCTTGCAAAGCACATTTAACCAACAAAGTGGCTTTGCTTTTGAGCTTCTTTTTGTCCCAACGACCAGTTTGCCTCACTCTGAGCTGTGAGGCTTCCCCACACAGTCTCTTGCCATTTCCCATCTGACCAGAGGAACAAAAACACTCCACGGTGCCCACCACACCTGAGCCCTGGCCCTGCATATCAGTGGACCCCACCCTGAGATAAATGAGTGAAATTGGCAAAAGAATGTGCGGCAGGGGTGTCCAACAGCACTGGGAGAGGAAGGGGTTTATTTCTGAAAGAGATCAGGAAAGGAATGCCTGCTGAGTGTTCCCAGGCAAAAGAGAACCACCGCTGGGTGACACCCCTGGGCTTCCAGAAATCTGCCCTTTCAGGCCAGTCCCTTCAGGACCTTGCTCTGAGGTGCCCAGACTTCCAAGGAAGGGTGTGGAGGCCCCTCCCTCTGCAGCTCCAAGTGGCAGTAAAGCAGGCTTTGGGCTTCTTCAGCTGTCGGAAGTCACTTCCTCTGAGGGTGCACTGGGCTCCTCAGCACGCCGTTGTATGTCACCGAGTGTGCGCGCACACACACTCGCATGCATGCACACACCAAGGCATGGCAGCTCATGTGACACTCGCACACACGCGTACTCCCACTCGTGTGCACTCACACGCTAAACCCACACTCATGCCCACTCTCCTATGCACTCACACGCTCCCATACTCTTGCTTGCTCACATGCATGCATGCTCACCCTCAAATACACTCTGACAACACTCACATTCACACATGCTCTTGCACACACACGCACATGCACACAGAGCCGCTGCCTCCACAGCTAAGACCCTGGTGCCAGCATTTTCTTCCCACCTCAGGGGCATGCAGGAGAGACTGTGCTGGGGGCAGTGGGTCCTGTCACAAATGCCCCTCCGGCCCCCAGCCTCGGCTTGGGCAGTCAGTCTTGCCAGCCTCCCTGCAGACACAGCCCAAGAGTGTGGGAGAAGGACCCTGAGCAGCACAGGCCTCCCTGCAAATCTGCAAAGGTGCCCTCATCTAAAGAGCAAAGCAGACCTTATCCCAGAGGGGGCTTCAGTCTGTGCAGCTGTAGAGTGCATTTATACTTACTCCTCTCAGTTCCTCAAAGGTGCTGTCATTTTTTTTAAAAAAAATGCAACAAAGCAAGCATCTTAAGCTTCGTGATAGAAGGCACAAAAATGCATTCATTCCTTTTTCCCTTGGTGTCCTTTGTCAGCAGACATTAACCAAGCATTTTTTATGTGCTGGGTGCCACGCTGGACATGGGTGATTCAGCGTGCAGCCTCGGCCCTGTCTGCTAGAGCTCACGGGCCAGCAGGGGACAGATGTATGCATTTGCTTCAGGGGAGGGCAACTGCTGTCATGGAGGCCCAAGCCCGGGCAAGAGGGCTGGGAGAAGGTATCCCCAGCTTCCTGGCAGGGTCAGGATGGCCTGCGCTTGTCACTGCCCCATGCTGTCATCATTGTCAATTGTCTACTCTGCATGGCTGTCCCTTATCGGAGATCCTGGGCAGATCACCCACACCAGCTCCCACGCCCCCTCTTTCCTCTTCAGCCTCTGGCCTTCACTTTGTCCACTGCATGACCAGTGCCTCCCCTGACCGGGAAGAGGCCCTGTGAGCTGATCGGGTGCTGGGGGACAGACTCTGGGCATGGCTGTTTGAGCAGGAAAAGAGGAAATCACGTTTCCACCAAGGTTCTTGCACACGGGGGCGATCTTGTCCCTGTTCTCCCCTCAAGTGTCCTGCCTCCCCCCTCTGCCCTGTGCCACTGGCCTGTTTTTGTGTTAAGTGTCTACTGGCCTGATTGCTCCTTGTCTGTCATTCTTCCCCGTACAGACAGCTGTCAGAGGAAAATGCTAATCTCCAGGAATACGTAGAGAAAGAAACCCAGGAGAAGAAGAGATTGAGCCGAACCAACGAAGAGCTGCTCTGGAAGCTCCAAACTGGGGACCCAACCAGCCCGATTAAACTCTCCCCCACGTCCCCTGTTTACCGTGGCTGCTCCTCGGGGCCCTCCTCTCCGGCCAGAGTCAGCTCGATGCCCAGATGACGCCACCATGCAGCTTGCAGGCGCTCCAGCTTCTCGTCCACCCCGAGGGCACACTGACCCGGTGCCGCCAGAGCTGGCCCTGCGCGCGTGCTCGCCCTGCGTGCATGCTCATAGCTGCATATGCATCCCAGGCCACGTCCCCCTTTGGTCCCCATGTAAGACTGTCCTGGCATTGGCACTTAGGGAAGCATAAGTGGTAGAGTCTGATGTGGAAGCATTTTACCATAGTTAGAGCCAAAAGAAAAACAACTCCAGTTCTTGAGTGATGAACTTTCACTGCAGAATTTCAGGTTAGCTACAAATAGCTCAGTTTTCAATATACATTGAGTAATCATTGTGTACTGCACCGATGTGTGTAGATTTACATATACATGTATACACATGCGGCAGTTCTGAATTGCATTTTTTATAACATGAAGTGCTGACATATTTTAGTGAAGGTCAGCAGTTTTCTAACTTGTGCCTAAGAATTATTGGGAGATGAAAATGCATTTCTATCTAGCTTCCCGGGAATATTTCTACCCAAAATAGAAAAAGGAAAAAAAAAAAAAAGATACAGAAAAGAAGCGCCTTTCAAGCTACCACTACGTGGTACTCTAACATGTACACCAGCGATTTGTGAACGGTAACTGCCTTTGGAACAATCAGCTTCTTAGTCAACATGATGTGAGGTCACTGTTACTCCATTCGCAAGTTTTAATTATTAATACTCTTGTCGTGAGTGGATAAGGGAAAGCAGTGGGAGATCCCAAAGGGCTTAGCAGTTTTGCAGATTTACTCATGATGATGACTCATCTATAATAGTCTCGTAAACACGAGTTTTGCTTTTTTACTAAATGGCATCTTGGAATTGGTCCTTAAGCACTTGTGGCACCCTCGGGAGAACATGGAAGAGCATGACCTTTTAGAGTGAGGGTGAGGACATCCTTGGAGATGGCCAAGACCATTCATGCTCCATCCTTGTGAAGAAACGCTGCTGGCAGGGCCGGTATCTGACCAGGCACAGAGTAGGGACGCGTCCTCCGGCTTGCCGTTTGGTTTGCTCTGATGCGCTGCTGTCAATGCTCGATTTGCTGAGATATGACCCTCAGGCCCCATTTCATTGGCAAACCCCCTTCAATTTGGTTCTGTAACTCAACTCCTTCATTGCACATTGAGATGGCCAGGGGCTCTAGCAGGGGCTTCCAGAAAACCAACATTTCTGTCCTGGGGGACCAGTTCTCCGCTGTGCTAGATCATCACATGACCTCCCAGAATCCCAGTTGTACTTTCTGCTGGATGATCAAGCAACACTGCAGCTGAGAGTGGTCCCACTTCAGCCCAGAAGGTTCTCCCTAACAGAGGAACCCAGTGAAACAGCTAGCCAGCCGTCACCAGCTCCTGGACTGGCATTTGTCTCTGAAATGGTAGAATTAGAGTGTGAAAGATATTCACGTAGTGCTGTGGAAGACTAGGAGCATGACACACACAGAAAGACGTAGTTTTACCAGTCGATATGGTGATGATGATGATGATGACGCCTTTGTTTCCTGTATGTGACAAAGACCCTGCACTTTTCTTTCTAAGACCCCTAAAAATAGTCATGAGCATAGGCCTGTCTTTGAGCATGCCCAGGGCCAGAAGACCCATGCAGGGATCCTGCAGGGGCCAGAGCCATGGTGCCGGGAAGAAATGGCCAATGGAAGGGGTCGGCTTGCCAGGGCCCAGCCTACTTGGTGCATGTGTGGCCGACACAAAGGCATACATGGTCTGTGTTCTTGGCATGAGTCAAAGTTGGGCATCCTGGCCTCAGGTACATCTCATTTCTAGCAGACCTCCGAGGGTCTTGCCCATTCCAGGGACATGCACAGTAGATAAACATTGAAGAAACATTTCTTTTTTTCTTTCGTGGCTCTGCATGATACTGTAATATTGAGTTGGGCATTCCGTTAGAGTAGATCATGCCACGTTGACTAAAGACACACTATTTATTCTTTCAGCAGGCACAGCCTGCAATCACAAGTTCGGTTGCAGCTTAGCTCTCCGAATTAGGAATTGCTTCCATAATCGCACTTGCTAAACGCAGTTACACAGCAATACTGACTTCAGTGTGATGTTAGAATGTGGTACAGTGTGGTAGGCTATTGCGGTCAAAGTTGTAGCGATATTAGAACTAAGGAATCCCTCACTAGTTGGACTAGAGCTTTGCCCTAACCAGCCCTGACCTTGGGTAGTTCAGCTAATTTCCACACGGCCCTGGCTTTGTTTTTTCACCATGGAACCCACCATGTCTGGCTCATCTGAGCCATTACCACTCCTGAAACCCATGGGGAGGCAGCTGCTGCACCTCCCCCGCCACACCATTAGGATTTGGACTTCTGACATGGAAGTCTGCCACGTCTGGCCCCGGGCTGCAGCGATGTTGCCACCTACGGACGCTGCAGCCTTTCACCTGCGTCAGACCCACCCACCAAACATCACCAGTCTCTTCTTTGCAGCTGGGAGACGTGTCGGTGGCCTGCCCCCACACCCTGCCCGCCACACCCTGGGATGAGGTTCTGGTGGGATGTCAGGCCGGGTGGGGGTGGGGGCCGGCACCCTCTGTGATTAGTCGAATGGGGTCACATTTCTTTTCCTGCCCCTCCAGTTTCTGTGTTGCATATTTGTGTTTAACTCTAAAGCCTATTAAAATGAACTTGAGGGACTCTCTGTGATATCCACTTGATGTAACTGGAGACCTGTCCCTCTTAGGCTGGGAATTCCAGGCAGGGAGCTGAGGGTGGTGTTTTGCGGGCTGGGTTCCTTTTGTGTGTGTGTGCCAGGCTCAGCAGATTGTCACTGAGAGAACTCTAGAGACCCTCCTACCCCAACTCAGCAGGTCCAAGGTCCCCACATCCACCCCTCAGCCTGGGGTCTTCAGTTGCCTATGCCTTGGACTAGGGAGCTCCGCGTCTCCACTCTGCAATGCTGGGGCAGTTGGCATTGGCTGAAAAGAGCACACAAAAGGTCACTCACTTCAGCCTGAAAGCACTTGCCCCCACATCCTGCCAGCCTTCAGCATGACCCTGGAGTCTCCCACAGGTGCCTGGCACTGGTTGGGGTCACAAGGGAGACCTAAAGTTTGCCAGTTCCCTGTGGTGGTTTTGCAGGGCATGTGGAGTGGCAGCTATTTTAGGGAGACTTCAGCAAGTCCCTCATGAACAATTGCTGAATGACAGATCCTTTGTAGATGACACACAAGTCACGAGGAACACTATGCTTCCCAGAATATTGAAGGCAACCTCTTATTTATTAATTATCTACTTGTCAGCATGAGCCATTCATTTCTTTCGGGGTGTCTTGAGTGCCCTCCACTTTGATAACAACCACCTCCCATTGTCCTTAACGCCCACCCTGAGAGGTAAACAAGGCAGATGTCTGTACCTCCACCTACCAAAGGAGCAAAGCTGGGGACTCACCCACCAGCACGTGCCAGAATGACATTGGAGCCAACTTTCTCTTGTCTGCAAAGAACTTTGTCCCCTCCCGTGGCTGATTTGCAGCAGGCAGAGGAGACCCCTGAAGTCAATGAACTCAGTCACCTCCTCTGTGCCAAGGAGCTGTGGAGAGCCTGGCTGTCCCTGCGTGGGAGACTTGTGACATCTCAGCAGGAAGTGAGTTACGGGCTTAAGTGCAGGTAGCGACTGAGAAGCTGGACGCCTTCCCACCTGCTGCTGGAGTTGAAGGACATTCTCAAAGCCACTGCTGCATCACGTGTGGGATGACTAACTCGGGTCACGCCCTGTCACACCTCATCCATGACAATCAAAAGGTGAGGAGCCTGCCCAGCTGACAGTCTGTGTCAAATGCTTAAAACACACAAACACCACCAAAGGCTGATAAGCCATTCTGATTAAGACAGGGGGAGTTAATTCACAAATTAAATTTGCTAACCTATCTTTTTTTTAGCCAGTCTGCTCCTCTCAAACTTCTTGCCCCTAACTTCATAAAAACAAAACAAAGGACACCTGGGGTTTCTGAACAACAAGTTCTGTTCACTTCCCCCTCAGCATGAAGATTCAGGCTAGTTTTCCTCACTCACTACACCTGGAAGTTTTTGCCAGTGCCAGTGCCAGTGCCAGGTGGGGTTGGAATCCCTGCAGCTGTGAGCTTGCTGGCCCTCATGCATGTACCTATGGGACCCTCCTGGGCACCACACCACAGACAACTGAGCAAGTAGCAGCTCCTCATTTGCACCCAAATTCATGCGGTAGGGAACAGGCTGCGTTCCTGCCTCTCCCACTGCAGTGGTGGAATAGAGTGCCCCTATGCAAGGGGCACACAATGACTGCATTGTTGCAAGGAGCAGAATTTAAAGGCACACATGGGAAAGTCGCAGCACAGCTCCTTCTCCACTCAGCCCTGCATCCATTCAATCTCCTCCCTGAGATGCCAAAGGGTTCGCGTGAGCTATTCTCATTAGCAAAGGTACTTACCTGTTTCCCCAACGCCCCTTTCTCACCTTGCATTTTTTAATGGCTATATTTATGACTTGGTGGACAGGCTTAATTTGGTAAAACTAAACCGTTCCCTTTGAACAAGGCTGACACAGTTGGTCCCAGCCCTCCCCACTGTAGCTCCAAACCTTGCCCAGGTCCGTGTGGTAGTTGAACGAGGCTGGGCTGTAATGACGATTTGAAAGGCCAGGGCAGTACTTCAGGCTGTGGTTCCATAGGATTCCTCATCCCTGTGAATGCTGTTTGGGGGCGGCTTTTGACTCCCACAGGTGTTTCATACCCAACTGTGCTAGGGGAAACTTGCTCCAGGTGATGCCCCGCAGGCCTCCAGCGCAGCAGCCACTAGGTGGCAGTGTAGCACCGAGGGAGCCGGGGTCCACCTTGCACTGGGCTCAAAGTCATCAGAGATCGCCCTTTTACCTGCCACATGCAGAAACCCAGGAACAAGGCGTGCCCCCCCCCCGCCCCATCCTTATTTCCTGCTTCCTGGACCCACTCTGTGCTGCTTTGTGAAGCCGGCCCATTTTGTACGTCAGAGCTGAGCTCTGGTTTCTGCCTTCCTAGAAGCTATGTCTGCAGAACCTCCACCAGTAATCGCACTGGGGTGGGGAGTGGGGCTGAGGAGACCACTGCTGCCCCATGTGCCCTGGCACACCCTTGTTTTCACACCGCCCATGCTCTGTGGCCTGGTTCCTTTATGTGGTCAAGGAACATGAAGCGTGTGCAGCCTGCTCAGGTAGATTCTCGTGACCTACTCCTGACATAAACACAGTGGTGCTGGGACAAGAGTGGCTGGCCTGCCCTCCCTCTGCATAGCTCCCTGCCTCCAACGCTAGCCCTCACCTGAGGAAAACGCAAAGGTGAAGCCTTATCTTCCAGGCAGCAGATCCTCTATTAGTTACTGTGAATCACTGCCCCTCAGTGCCTGCAAATTAAGGCCTTCTTGACTGAATTTGCTTCCTGTGCAAAAAAATGCATCCTTTCTCAAGGGAGTTGAGGAAGTGAGATAGCAACAATTATTAGAATAGCCATGGCCCTCTCCCAGCCCCTCTGCACCCTGTGTACCCTCCGTTACCCTTAACCAGATAGGGCGGGGGGGCATGCACACGACTGCAGTGTCAGCTGGGTGAGGGGGTTTTCTGCCTCAGACCCAAGTGCTTCAGCAAATGCCAAGCAGCTTGAGCAGAAGGAAGATCCCTGGAGAGGCAGTGAGGTGGGAAGACAGCATCGGAGGATCTAAAATGTGGGTTGGAGGGACTCCTTGGTTGAGGCTCGAAGTGTTGGAATGAGGATTTTCCCCAAATGCCACAGAAAAATGAGGCCATCAGACTAAAGCCATGGGCTGTGGGAAGGCAGGAAGGACCTAAAGGACCAGGGCAGGACCCAGAACTCCCCGTGGGGCACCACCAGGCTGGGACCCAGCTGAGAGCTGCAGGAATTCCGAGATCACACTGTGTACGTGGAAGCCATAGACGGAATTTATTAGAGTTTGGGAAAGCATGAGATGATGTACCACAAAATCGTTTGACTTTACAACATAAAGTATGGTAGGAAGTTGTCAACGTACAGTGTTGTCAGCAAAAGGGGATACAGAGTTTCACATTTTTTTAAAGGTGATGGATGACACCAGCACTTTTCCTTGAAATAAAATGGAAACAGGAGGGACCCAGCAGAGACCAACCTGATTTGCAGGTAGCATCAGAATCTAAATCTAGTATCACATTTATAAGAAACTATGAGAAAACTATTAGAAAAATAGAACATCAAATAAGCAAAAAATATTATACAATTTACATAATAAAAAACACACAATTCTTTTAATAATGGCTCTGTGTTCAGTAGAAGAAAAAATTTACTGGAGAAACCACAGCTATTCAGGTTTGATAATAAACCAACCCACATTATATCATTCCCATTACGCTCCTTAATCCACGAAGCTGAAAGGCACAACTTAAGCAGGAAATTTATCTTAAATATACATCTCAAGTGGGAAAGTAAGTCCCAAACTTAAAAGTTTGTCATCAAGAAACATGAAATCACATCCCTCATTGATGAAGTCTAAATGCACCTTCCCGGTCCTGCTTCCTGACTGCTGCACATGCTAATACCCTGAGAAAATCTGCTGGGGCTTCCCGTGAAGCCTGGCCCAGGTCTTCGTCTCCCGTGGGTTTCTCAGCCTGCAGTTCCACACATCTGTAAGACCATCCGGGACGGCTCCTTGGCTGAGCCACGTCCCTCTGGAAAAACAGCGATGCAGCTTAATGCAGCAATTGGCACACAAAAAAGACTGCATCAGAGTGATGAAGATAAAAGTCAGTTGACTTTTTTTTGCTTTAAAAAGCCATTAGGTATCGAAACTACAATGACATATGGTGTACAGCTTTTTGCACCAGTGGATCAATAAAGCATTTCATTACCCAAAAAAAGTCCACAAGCATCTGATAAAATGTACATCTCACTCTCCCTTAGGAGCCTTCCATATAATCCTCCCATCACGATGGCAAACAGACACATTTTAAATTATACACAACAATTATACATAACATATATTCGGTCCCATCTAAAGTTGGACTCTAACAGTTCCATACACAAGCGTCACATCCTCTGCCCAGCAACTTCCTGTCCCAGGAACTCAGGAGGCCGCCAGAGCATGGACACACACACGCCTCTCACCCATCCCAGAGCACAGCGGGGCTGGGGCCCCACACCAAGACCCTCACTCCCTGTCTCCATGGTGCCAACACAACTGTCGGCTCTTTCTAGAAAAAAAGAAGTGGCTGTGTAAAAATGGGATGCTCAAATCAAAAAAGACAGGGCTGGCATGGAGCCAGGCAGGTTTTCTCTAGCAGTAAGGCTGTGCACATCGGGTGGTGCCTATGACCTTGCCTGCGAGTCTGGGTGTTGCATGTCCACACGCCTCCCAGCAAGCACTCACGGCTGTCCCCAGTCTTCACCCAGTGTCAGGCTAGAGGCCACACTGTGTGGGACTGCAAACACCGGCCAATGCAGAATGCCTGCTGTGGGGGCTGAGGGACAAGAGCTGCTGAACCTCCACCTGTCTCCACAGACAACGCAGTGGGCGGGTGTGCCAAAGGCATGGGAGGGAGTATGTCAGGGCCTTGGCCACTGGCCTGGGTGGAGAACCTAGGTGCCCCGCCAGTCTTGCAGTCACCTCTGGACTCTCAGCATATCCCAGCCACCACGCCACAGGCAGGCAGGGGGTGCGTGGTGCCCAAATCATCGCATCAGCACACAGGACCAGGCGGCTGCTCACCTGCTAGATAAGAGATGAGAGACTTGATGGGAAGAGAGTTTTTGCTGCTGCAAAAACAAAACCAAAAGTGGGGAGAAATGTGAACAATTCTGACAAAAACACATATTTCATAATTGTCCTGAAGCAGCCTGTCACTTCTCCCTCTTGGTTTGAAAAAACACATCAGACCCACGGAGCCCTGGCTGAGGGTGTGGGCAGGGATGACGGGTAGGGTGGATGGGTGCGGGGTGTTCAGAGGCCTGATGTTCCCTCACCCAGGCTGTGCTGACTTCCTGGAAGCTGGTTCACATGTCACCAGGGCCCCCCGCTGCTTCCCTAAAGACCCCCTTCCCCTCTTCAAGAGGTCCTGGGGGAGGGCTCTGCTGTGTTTGCTTCTTCATGAATTTGTACCCTTGGGGGGTCACAAAAACACTCAGGGAGGTGGGGTATGAGAGACAGGAAGGGACACTTACTCATCACAAATATCTCTCCAATGCGGGCATTTGGGGTTTTGTACAGACAGTCTGACAGTAGACACACTGTTCCTGCCGGTGTGCGTCTCCTGCAATGTGGAAGTTCTACGCAGGGAAACACTGGCCAAGCCAGGAAACTGAGAATGATATTCTTATTGGGCAACAATCGGTCGTTTTTGTGTTTTTGCTTGTGTGTGTGTGTGTTTTTATTTCAGGGGAAGGAATGAGGGATGTGATATAAAAAAGTCTATTAAAATTGTGAGGCTCACCCCAAACACCATTACTTATACTACTGCCCTCACACACAGAAGAGAAAACCTCTGGCCACTATACAAAAACTACTCCATAAAAGCACAGGGATCAATGAACTACGGATGCAAGTTGCCCTCAGGTGACCTTGACTAGTACGTCCTTCCTCTACTCTGGGAGGGCGCAGGGGTGGCTCAGCCCTACAGAGCCACTGCAGGCTCCCGAGTGAGGTGAGGAGGGTGGCCTCACGGTCCCCAGCCAGCACACCCTCGCCAGGGGAGACAGTGTGGGCAGCACACCCTTTCTTTCAGTCTGTAGAAGGATACGCTTGGCGAGCTGACGTGTCAAGTGTAAACCGTCTGCTGGGTGCTGTCTTGCATGGAAATTAAAACTTTCTCTCCCCAACCACCTTCCTTGGATACCCTCTTTCCCTCAAGTTCTCTTTGCCTATGTAGAAAAATAACAGGGGGGAAAAAATCAAGCAAACAAAAAGCTAAGAAGACAACAGACAACCAAAACTCCGACAAAATAAGTTAATATTTATCAAAATATTTTACAGCACCAATCTACATAAATTTAAATATCTTTCTTTGGAAATCTAAGCTTTGGGCTCATATGATGCTCCTCCAGCACGTTCAGCAATGAGACTTAGAAGAGAGCCACCCCCAGCACGGTCACAGCACCTGGCCACCCCTGCCCCCGGCTGACCCAGCCTCTCAGCCGTCTCCCTTGCTCTTGTGTCTCCAGCACGTTCAGCAATGAGACTTAGAAGAGAGCCACCCCCAGCACGGTCACAGCGCCTGGCCACCCCTGCCCCCGGCTGACCCAGCCTCTCAGCCGTCTCCCTTGCTCTTGTGTCTCTCTCCAAGAACCTTCTGGGGCACAGGGAGAAAGACAAATGCCATCGATTTATCAGGCTTCTTTCTACCAGATGTGTGTCAAAGGCCAGACTGGGAAGAAATGGGGAATTAAGCTTCAAAAGCAGCATTTACATTTCCTGCATTGTCCAAAATGCTGGCCTCGCATCAACACAGGACCCTTCCGTCTCCTGCATGATACTCTAAATGGAAGTAAGGCTCCGTCAGCATTTTTTCCTCTGGCTTCCACCTACGAGGAGTGTGTGGAACGGTGTTGGCCCCAGGCCCCACCCTGAGCAGGAGAGGAGTGGGGTGGAGTACACAGTAGGCACAGGGAGCCGTGGACGGAGGGTTGGCCGAGTCTCAGCTGCACCTGCCTGTGGCTCTCCAACTTACAGAAGCATGAGGTCCAGGGTTGGCCGAGTCTCAGCTGCACCTGCCCGTGGCTCTCCAACTTACAGAAGCATGAGGTCCAGGGCAGGTTAGAATCTCACCGCGAACACAAAGCTGCAGCATTTGGAGGACAGATGCATGGGAGGGACAGCAATATGACTGCCCATCACCCCATGTGCAGACCACATCCCCAAGATGACACACCATGACATGGGGTAATTATCTGGCCATTTTCCAAGTTAATGTTACGCCCCAACTTAATTTAGTGGAGTGGTTCACAGCAACGAACAGGAGGCTTTACTTTCATTACACACAAGAAAGAGGCCAAGCGGATCATGTCTGGGGCCAGAGTTATAACCACAACTTGCCATGACCCTGGACCAAGCTGCCACCTGCCTTGAGAAGCCTACAAGACCCAGGAGATTTGCAAGCATTGGAGGGCAAGATGTAGTGAATGGCAGAGACCATAGAAAATGGAGTTCTAAACTCTGCCTATTAGAGGCCAATCCTACACAAATAGAGTCTCATGTTCCAGTTACTCAAGGTACATAGCCAGCAGCAGGATGCCAGGAGCAGCACTCACTGGCCCAGGCCTGGAGGGGAAAGGGCTGAAGACTGTCTCCAGCTCTCACACACACATGCACGGAGCCAGCCCTCCCCCAGCCCTCTCGCCTTCGTTCCCACAGGAAGCCACCTCTTCCTCCTTGTCTTCGACAAACCCCTGCCCTCACTCCTGCTGCTGGGCCGTTGGTGCCATCAGAGCAAAGCCCTGCTGGGAAGGGGAGGTGGGGAGGGGCCCAGTCCCAATGCCCCATCTGGAAGCAACTCAGACGGCAGAAGCAGGAGGAGGAAACAGTCCCGGTCTCCCTTTGTAAGTGAACTGCTGCTGCTGCTGGGCGGGGGTGGGTGGCGAATGCTGGGGACGCAGTTTTGTGGTACTCATCTTGCATCTATGGCCAGCTGTTTGGGGCAGAGGGGGATGGCTACAAGGCTGGAGTATGCACATTGTCAATACCAGAACAGTCCCCAGGGAGGGGCCTGGATTCCCCCATCAGGAGAGAAGGGGACCTCCATCCTGCCTGAGGCCACAGCAGCCCGGGAGCTGAGCTGGCAAGGAGAGGCGCAGCTTTCTTGTTCAGAGGGAAGTGAGGAGACATGGCAGCCAGCCCCAGACAAGTGGTCCCAGCCATGGAGCTGTCCGGAGGTGGCCAGCGCCTCATTAGCCTCCCGCAGAATGGAGTGTGGACAGGACACGCGAGCTGTGGCCGAGGCTGTGGTTCAAGTCATTGCACCTTGGGTTGCACTAGGGGCATCATGAATGTGGGTGGTTCCTGCTGCAGCGGTGGAGACAGCAGGGTGCCTCCCGGTCTTCTGGGGGTGTCCCTCAGGGCTGCTGCCACCTCCGGGGGGTGGGGCTGCGCATCACTTGCACTGGTCCAAATTGCCATCAGGAGTCCTTGCTTGGTCAGTGGCCAGGGACGCCTCCTCGCTGTGCCAGAGACCATAGCCAAAGTAGATGATGAAGCCTGCAGGCCGCAAGCAGAGAGATGGGGCATGAATGGAGTGGGACAGGCTCGGGAACCAGACGGAAGGTGGCCCAGGGCTCACAGTCCCGTGGAAAAGCCTCCTGCACACTGCCTGCCCCTGCCTGGCCAAGCTCCTGAGGCTGGCCTCCCAGCAAAAGGGCCAGGGTCTGTGGCCTACCAGGAGGGTCCTTACAGGCCTGTTAGACTGAGCTGCTCACCTTGAATGAGAGTTTTGTCTTGCTTTCAGACTGCCTCCAGATGATGCTGGTGACCACTGCGCAGAGCAGGGCAGACACTGTGAGCACCAAGACTGCCCACAGCTCCCCGTGGGCCAGAGCCTCCCTTCCAAGCACGGCCACGATGCAGAAGGTGATGATCAGAACAGCTAAGAGGAGGGAGGCGGGAGAGAGAGAGGCGCAGCTCAGTCTCAAGCTGAGCTCCCATGGGTGTCCTCAGTCCTTCCCAAAACCTGTCGAGAGGGCAGCTCCACTTCTGGAGGCATCAGTCACAATCAGGACAGAATAACTGGCATCACAGTCCAGCGACAAAACAAAGGCTCATCCCCTCAGGCACCTTCCCCCACCCCACCCTCCATCGCCACTGACAAGAAACCATGTCACGCCTACCAGCATGACCCCAAACCCCTCTCTTACCTATGAGGCTGGCAGAAACATTCACAATTAGCCCAGACAATTTGGAAGGCTCCATGTTTTTGGGTGAGAGTACAGTTTTCAAAGAAAAATTCTCTGCCTCTGGTAAAAAGCCCGTCTGGGAGTCACTGGTGCTCACCAGTTCATTCTGGTCTATTCGATCTGACTCATCAGTAGTTCTGGCCATCTGGTAGACTACGTTAGGTTGCTCTGGCTGATACCTGTAAAGAAACGTGTTACATGACCACCATAATCTCCTTCAAGCAAAAGGACATGCGCCAACTCGCAGGTAAGCTGCCCACCACACAAGGCATACGATGGGAAGGAGATGGCCAGAACGGTGCGTTCTCCAGCAAAGTGAAGACAGGAGGGGACCTGGGTCCTGCTTCTGCGCAGCACCCTCCTTGGTGTCTCTGTTTTGGAGGGAACACGACTTCCACTGTGAACCAGCCCAGAAAAAAATGTCCTGAGAAGATTTCTCTTGCTCTGTGAGGTAGCAGTGGCCCTCAGATACTAAAGATAGGAGGCCACTCCCCACAAAACTGTGGCCGCAGAGAGCTAAAAGAAGGACAGGAACAGAAAGCAATACCGCTAGGGTCCTATTTGGTGCAGAGCCAGAGAAAGGTGTCTGCAGGCTGACAGATTTGAGAAATTCTGTTTGCGTGACTTAATTGGATCAATTTATTTTAAAACTCCAAGTGCCTAGGAGTAAACGACTACAGAGCTGGTGAAGGATGGGCCTGTGGCGCCATTTCCAAGACACAAGCTACCTGCAAGTAAAATACCCACTTTAAATAAGGTTCCTTATCTTCCCACCCAGAATGAATGGAGCACAAATCTTTTCTACCTGCTTTGAAAAACAGTGCTTTACGAATTATTTTGCATATGACACTTCTAAGAGTGAGCATAAAGATACTTGACTATTTTTGCACCGATTCACTTCTGTAACACTATTTAGTCAATTAAGAGAATGTTCTAGTGGTGAGCCCCTGAGAAGAAATAAGGGGTCCACAAACTAGTTTTACCTGATTCTATACAGCCACTACTAAGGCTCAATCCAGGTTTTACATAAACTAGTTGCTGAGCACATTACAAATGAAATCAGTGGCCTTGAAAGTATAAATACGAGAAAAGAAATAGGAAGGCTCTTGCTGGGAGAACGGTGCTGAGTCTCCATGAGCCCATGTTCTCCTGATAACTGCTGCCGTGGGCCAACCTCGGAGCAGAGCCCTCTCCTTCCATAGCAAAGGAAAACTGGAGTCCAGGGATGCCCTTTGGGAGGGGTGCTGGGGCAGGTGAGACCACCAAGGCACCAAGCCACTTTGCCCAGAGCCGCTTTACCACGACAGTCCATAAGACTCGCCTGGCCCACACGAGACCAAAACAGCCAGCACCTAGAAAGTGTCCCTGGATGCCAACCTAGGCTGCTCCACGCCGTATAATGGGATTCATTCCTCCAGCCACAGTGCACGAATGCTACAGACACATCACACCTAAGTTTCATAGGCCTTGGATTCTTCCGATTCTTACCAGGGCCAGCCCCCAGTCCTCTCTGTCCCAAGAACCGTATAATGGGATTCATTCCTCCAGCCACAGTGCACGAATGCTACAGACACATCACACCTAAGTTTCAGAGGCCTTGGATTCTTCCGATTCTTACCAGGGCCAGCCCCCAGTCCTCTCTGTCCCAAGAACCCAGACCAAATTGCAATCATTACCCTAAGCCTTCAAACATTCTGATCCCAGGATCCAGACCCAACAGAGGGGCTGAGAACGTGTCCCTATCCTCCCACCATCTAGCCAGAAAAATGAGGGCACCTGACAGAAGGAGTGGGCGATCCCATGACTCAGTTCACGGACAACCTCCTGACTAGGCCTCAACCACCAGATCCTACCCTGTCCTCCGTAGTCCCAGTGGAGCTGTCATCAACCTAGAAGTGACACTATATAAATCATTAATGTGAACAGTTAAAAAGCTACCAGGTGCATCTGCATTTCTGCTATGGGACCCAGAAAAGCCATACATACCGTAAGACCAACACACAGGCAGCCACCAAAGAGTAAGCCAGGAGAGTGCCAATGGACATGAGGTCCACCAAGTCCTTCAGGTCAAAGAGGAAGGCCATCACAGCTGGGGAGGAGACAGACATCAGGACCTGTGCATGGCCTTCTGCACACACAGACAGCCAGAACCACCACCCACCTGTGACCCAGCACATTTGAGGGCTGCTGCTTTTACTCCCACCCCCCAGGACTGGCCCTTCCAGGGAAGGACAGCGCTTAAGGGGAAGACAAGCTCAGGATTAAATCGCGTACACAGCCCTCGAGAAGGTAATAAAAACTAACATTTGTATAAAGAGTACTTTCATCCTCTTATAATCTCATGACAACTTTGCAAGCCAGCCCTACACTACAGATGAAGAAAATGAAGTTCACACAGGTTAGGAGACTTATCTAAGGTCATACAGCTCCAAACTGGAGTAGCCAGGATACAAACTAGGTTCTTGTGGCTCAGAGTCTAGTGTGTTGTCCTCTACACTGTGCTGACTCACTGACAGTCATGTGCATCCATTTAACCATTCATCACCCATCCATCGTCCACCCATCCATCATCCATTTATCATCCATCATCCATCCACCCATCTATCATCTACACACCCATCCATCCATCCATCCATCACCCATCTCACCCATCCATCATCCATCCATCCATCCATCCATCCATCCATCCATCCCCCATGTATCATACACCCATGCATCATCCATTTATCATCCATCATCCATCTACCCATCTATCATCTACACACCCATCCATCCATCCATCCATCACCCATGTATCATACACCCATCCATCATCCATTTATCATCCATCATCCATCCACCCATCTATCATTTACACACCCATCCATCCATCCATCCATCACCCATGTATCATACACCCATGCATCATCCATTTATCATCCATCATCCATCCACCCATCTATCATTTACACACCCATCCATCCATCCATCCATCACCCATGTATCATACACCCATGCATCATCCATTTATCATCCATCATCCATCCACCCATCTATCATCTAC